AGAGGTTAATGGATTTGGTTTACATTGCACAGGATACACTTACGTTGGACGACACGCCACAGAAGAATCAACCTTGCTCTAGTTGTCATTCGCTCTTGCTGTCACAGTGCACGAAACAGATATAAATCCTCTTGACATCAATTGGAGAACATATCCAGTACTAGTGTCTGCGGCAGAGCTGCTCTCCCACAAATACCTTAAAAAACATAACAACAATCTATTAGTTGTGTGTATTGTCAACATATCATCACGAGATACGTACACAAACAAGGCAAGGGTGAAAAGTGAAAACACAGCAAACACAAATAAGCAATCGCAGACCACAAGAGTACAAAAGATAAAATTGTCTGGTTTTGGCCAAGTTCTTATGGTACTGAGACTTCGAGACTTACTCTCACTACTACTAACTGTCGGTGTTTAGTGAACGAAGTGACTGTACACAGTCATATGAGTGTGTCTAATAACGTGTGCACGCTTACCGGGTTCAGCGCGACATTTTAAATTCATCGCATCTTGTGACGCGGCTACGTAACGTAATAATAATTAGCTTACATGACAGCAATCATCGCACTCGCGAAGTGCAGTGCCCTACTGACCCGAGCCTCCTTGAAATGACGACGATCTGGAAGCTTCAAGGAAAACTCTTGAATACCGGACGAAAATTCCAAGGCTTTCCCTTGGAAGCTGCGAGTTTCAAGACAGAGTCTGGGATTTCAAGGGCCAACCTTGAAATTATCCACCCTCGAAATCCAAGAAATTTCCTCGGATTTCAAGACTTTCTTTTTACCGTGGATTTCGTCGAATTTTTAATCGTTCTGCTGGATGTCTCTGCATTCCTGGACTTATCGTCCCTAGACTCCAGCTTGTTTGATTTCTGCCCAGCTATGTTGCATATGCATGCCAAGCGCTTTCCTTCTCATTGCTTAACTTACTGCGGTGTAATGACAAAACTAACCTCGTCGTAACTTGTGTTAAATTTACCTTTCACCTTAGGTGCGGCAGCAGTTCCCTCGGCCGGTCAAAGTCTTCTTGCTGATCCAGCATATCAATGGTATTATTGATTCCCAATGAGGTTTATTCTGGACCTTAAAATCTCTATATGAATAGTTCTCTTTGAGTGTACTTTCATTGGACTCATAACCAATTACCTCATACCACATCCTTGTGAATTTTACTCACCCGTGCCAACCAGTAATGACAACTGTAAATTTTGTATTATTTAGTGTGTTGTGATGGTATGTAGTGTATGACAGCATGCCATTTCTGATATTTTAGGTGTTTGCAGCTCACTTATGCCACACCTTTTATCTTACATGTTTTAAACCAGAGATGTTATTTAATACTCTCGTAATTGCTAATTGATTCAATACATTCATCTAACTAACTAGCAGAACTAGTATGGGTTTAATTTCTTTCAAATAGCTTCTCATTGATGAGACTCTTTTTCCTGTGCCCTCTCCTGTGTCATCCCTTCATATATGTGAGCTTTGCAGTTCAAAAGATTGTGCTCTCAGGAAGCTCTTGATCCTGGCGTTTTGAAATTAGAGATTTGAACACACAGCCTCACTATCTGCTCGGTAATAGGTATAGGTTGAGAATAGTGGCATTCATTTCTGATTTGATCAATGTGCGGTCTAGCCTACATATATTGTGCAGTAAACCTTATTTACTTCAGAAATGGCATGCTGTCATACACTACATTCCATCACAACACACGACTTAATACTAAATTTACAGTTGACATTACTGGTTGGCACGGTTGAGTAAAAATTCACAAGGATGTTGTGTGAGGTAATTTATTATGCGTCCAATGAAAGTACACTCAAGGGATTTCAAGGTCCACATTAAACCTCATAGGGAACCCATAATACCATTGATGTGCTGGTTCAACAGAGGATGGCAAAGAAGACTCCAACCGGCCAAGAGAACTGTTGCCACACCTATGATGAAAGGTAAATTTAATACAAGTTGGTTATACAGGTTGGTTTTGTCATTATTTGTTTTGAACTAGAGATACCCAGAGAGAGGCTACAGGTCCCCCCGGTCCCGAAGCCTCCCTTGGAGAGGGCATGAAAAATTTTGCATGCGGTAATCGGTGGCCTGAATTTTTTTTCCGCTAAAGGGCAATTCCAGGGAGGGGTGTCCGTACGTAACGCGATTTGTAAGCGACTGAGAGGTGCTACAGTTTTGTACAAAACATGACTAGACGAGTCTTGAGATGGCGAATCCGGACATGTATTGCAAAACAACGTACCACCTCTCAGTCGCTCACAAATCGCGTTACGTACGGACTTTTCTTACCATTTTTCCTGGAATTGCCCA